ACACACACACACACACACACACACACACACACACACACACACACACACACACACACACACACACACACACACCACTCACAGACTCACAAAGAGTGCAACAAAAATAAAATTAAACCTTAAATTTAAGAAGTAAGTGACTCATTCTCAATTAATAGTCCACGTTGGGGTCCTTTAGGATCCAGGATGGGGTCCAGGTTGAGGTCCAGGTTGGACTCCATGTTCAGGTCCAGGTTGGGGTCCAAGTTGGGGTCCAGGTTGGACTCCAGGTTGAGGTCCAGGTTGGGGTCCAGATTGGACTCCAGGTCCAGGTTGGGGTCCAGGTTGGGGTCCAGGTCAGGGTCCAGGTTGAGGTCCAGGTTGGGCTCAAGGTTGGCATCCAGGATGGATTCAAGGTTGGGGTCCACATTGGGGCCCAGGTTGGACTAAAGGTTGGGGTCCAGATTGGGGTCCAGGTTGGGGTCCAGGTTGGGATCCAGGCTGGGCAGACCCAGGTCTCGTATAAAACAGGACTGAATAATATTTGAATAACTTTATAACAAAGCTGAAAACCATCATAAACTGATTTATTTTCATYTTTATTTGAATGTTTAATAATCCAGATTATTTTAAAACGCATCTTTTTACGTTTAAAGAAAGTTTTACTCCTGAAGCTCCTGGGTTTTACAGACAGAACCTCTGATGAGTGACTTTTATTCAGGATAAAGTTCTAACTGTAACCAGGAACTGGTCTGGATTACAGATCAGATGAAGCTGGTCACGGTCCAGAACTCCAGACACTCAGAGGTCTCAGGAGGACCACGTGGTCCATTTCTGCCCCCGGCACCCCGAGTGGGGTAATCAAGTCCTGGCACTTGGTGGCAGCCAGAAGTGGACTTTGTGTTGGAAGTCAGAACCTGGCAGGAAACCAGGAGCAGCTGCCAGGAGGACGCTTCAAAGTCCAGCAGCTGAATTTACACAGTCGAGCTTTTAGACAGAATTTAGTTTTTATTTATTTCCTTTATTTACAGATTTTATTAGTTTGTTTTGTTTCAGGAAGACTGGATCCTGTCCCCTGAGGACGGCTGTCCTCTGACCGTCCTCTGAGGACAGAAAGAGAAGTTGTTTTCAGATTTCCTGTCAGGAGAGGCTCTGACTCAGGATCAGCAAACAAAAAGCAACAGATTTTTTTCTCCTTCTTTAATTCCACCTTCAACCTCTCTCTCTTCCTCATCTTCCTCTTCCTCTCATCCATCTACTTTTAGATCTTTCACTCCTAAATCTCTGACCGTCTCTGAAAAACAAAATCCTCTTAACTCTCCTCCTCTTCATCTGGATAATCTAATTACCTCAACCTGCCATGGAGAGGAGGATGAAGAGCAGCTTATTTTAAGGTACTTTTAGGATTCTGCAGAGCTTCTGAACATCACAGACTTTGATGGAACTACCAATAATACCAAAAGATCGTACTATTTATTAGAATCAGAAAAACGGTTCCTTCTAACAACGTTTGTGTGATGGGTTCTGAACATAGAGAAACTGTAGATTTTATTGTTTAATCATAGACTGGATATGAGTCGGGACCACTGGTTGGCACTCTAATGGGGCTGAAGGAGAAGGCTTGGCTGATGCAGGTAAGGTGTCCAATTTTTATGGTCCTTGGATCAGGCTTGAGTTGAATATCCATAAGGGAGGAGTGGGTCAGAACCAGGTAATCCAAGAGCCGATGACAATACCAAAACGAGATCCACAAGGCGAGGTCCAGGAAATGATAACGTGGTCGAGAGCTGGTGGTCAGAAGTAGACGAGGGGCAGGCAAGGTCGGAGAGTTGAGAGTCAGGCGTGGGGTCATGAACATGAGATCAGGTATGGACAATGGAAAAACGCTGGACATCTACACCCCTTTTCCACTAGTGCCACCTAGTGTAGTGTCAGAACGGGTCAGTTCGGGTGCTTTTCCATTGACGTTCCAGTCTGGTTCCAGTGGGTGTGTTTTGGGCATTTCCACAGTCCAAAAATTGTGGTCACACGTGATGACGGTGGTAATGCTGTTTGTAGGCAACCATTAAAGGCAGCAGCAGGTTTGAATCGGTTTGAACCGCTCCTTCCATTTTGGTCCTTAATCGTGCGATAATCACACTTCAACTTTTCAGTTTTTCCCAGCATTGCTTCGAGGTTCTCTCGTAGCCACGAGTGGCTATCAGCTTCGACAACTCCTTGAACACTTTTTCGTTGCAAGTTGACCCATCCAGCTCGCTTTGAATTTTCTCCTCTGCCACCGAGCAGAA